CCACCCACGTGCCACAAGTTGCATTGGGGGGTGGAGCACCCGAGTGCTCATATGTATTTCCCCTCATTTCACAACCTTTTACAAGTCTCGATATTTATTCATGAAATTCAACAAATAATTCGTCTGAGCCCACAACCAAGGGTTGATGAAAGAAAAAGAAAAAACAGTATTGTGTTGGCCCTGGCAGTAGCAGCCCCTTCTCCGGCCACTGACGAGTGGGCCATAGGCGGCTCACCTGCCCCAAACACAGGCGTGAAACAAACCAGCCTCCGTTCCGTCACGAGACCCGAACGAAACGTCGTCCGCTTCCCCACCTTCGACACTCAACTACTACCATCCAGCGACCACCGGTCCTCCAATCGGAAGCACCAACCATGGCGGCGGCGGCGAAGATAGCGCCGTCCATGCTCTCGTCGGACTTCGCCAACCTCGCCTCGGAGGCCGAGCGCATGGTCCGCCTCGGCGCCGACTGGCTCCACATGGACGTCATGGTACGATCCCCCCTCCCGTCCCCTCTCTCCCCCCACCATGTTTCCTAACCCTGCTTGATTGATCCACCCTCGAATCCTCGAGATTCGTTCAGGAGTAGGATTGGACCGCGCACTGTTATGGTCGCTTCAGTCGTTTGCCGCCGTGACGGAGTCGGTCATGCTAGGGAACTAGGGATAATAGGATTGAACCACTGAATGAATCAGAGGAGCTGCCATACTTCTTGTTTCTGCACACAACCAGGCCTTGCAGTGAGCATAGGCGATTCGGTAGAATCTGTTCGGAGTTGACAGTCTTCTCTGCTCCGCTTTCTGCTACTGAAAGGTTACTCTGAACATCGTTGTTCAGAGCATGAGCGTGAGCTGTCATGTTCGCAGTAGTTCTGGTCTGCGATGTGCTATGCTGCAACTGTACTGGTACTTACTAGTCTAAGGCAGTGACTTTTTTTTTGAACCGGGCTAATCCCCTTTCCATTAATAAAGATATAACGGAAATACAGCCAAATCCATGTCAAGGCTGTGACTTGCCTGTTACAGGCATGTGACAAGTTCAGTTAATTTTGTTCCTCTCAGGGAATGTGTTCTACTCCCTCCGTTCCGAATTACTCGTCGCAGAAATGGATGTATATAGATGTATTTTAGTTCTAGATACATCCATTTTTGCGACGAGTAATTTGGAACGGAGGGAGTAGTAGTTAATTTTGTTCCTCCCAACGATTGTGTTCCATTTTATTTTTCTTTTAGACAGGGATCGTGTGCATTGATCATGGACATTCAAGCTTGGAATTCCATTTGCCTTATGCTCATTCTGTTCCTTTTCCACCTTGCAGGATGGGTGAGTTTGTCTCTACTTTCCACTGCGGATGCGGCAGATCGATTTTGATCTGTTACTGAATTGTGTCGGCACTTTCTGGTGCCAAAAAACTATTCTGACATACCAATGCCAAATTTTATTCCTTATCTCTTAGTATGTAGGCAGAACTCTGCCTTTCGTTCAAATAATGGAAGATATGTTTGCCCTTATTTATCTGCTAGCATAGCAGGCTGGCAGTGGGTGTTTAAGCTAAGCTAACTAGATAAGTATGCAGGTGGCTGTATACATGCCTACAAGCTACATCTACCTAGATGATTTTTGTTTTTAACCCACACATGTATGTTCTCTTAGTTGCTGTTCGACCTATGGACCTTTCTATTTAATTTTTGGCTACTTTCGTTAGATACCTTACTTATTCGAACATCCTGCTCATGGATGCGAAATGTTAATAAAATCTCACATAAAGAGCATGATTTCCAAAATATGTATATAAGAAGGAAAGCAATAAGCCTGATAGCCATGTGACTAAACTTGAAAAAGAAGCAGCTTAAACTATGCTCTATTCTTTCACATTTTGCCTACTTAAAGGAATGTTGACCTTTCGTTCTGAAAATAAACAATAGGAAAATTCAAGTAGCTAATGATGAAACAAGAGGTATCTGCAGTCAGTATGGAGATGGTGTTCCCTCTGTTTTCTTAGACAGAGATCACACACCTTGAGCATACGGGAGAGAAATTAGACACCTTCTTCAAGCTGGTGAAAAGTAGAATGCTTGCTTAAGATGCTTTTTTTTTATGAACTGGACATCATCGAAGTAAGTATTGAACATGAATTGCTGTCTTCCTTCACGTGGGAATCTTTTTTTTTTGTCAACAGGATCATACAGATCCTATGTCTGGATGTTCTCTTGAATATCTTTCTATAACTCCCAGATGAAAGACTGCATGCAAAAAGAATATCATTATTATGTTATATGTTGAATCAAGTTTGAAGGACAATGCATTCATCTTGTTCGGAAATTTGATGATAGACTATTTTGATGACGACCAAAAGAACTATCAATTTTGAAGCTGGCTGTTTGCACACGCAGGCACTTCGTTCCTAATTTAACTATTGGAGCTCCAGTGATTGAGAGCTTGAGGAAGCACACAAAGTATGGTGACCTTCCTTGTCTTATTTAATATTCACTTTGATGGATTCTGTTCTTATAGGCTGTATGCACCTAATACTGCTATTCTCGATTTCTAGGGCATATTTGGACTGCCATCTCATGGTCACAAATCCTTCCGATTATGTAGAGGCATTTGGAAAAGCTGGTGCCTCAGGATTCACATTCCATATAGAAGTAGCGAGGGGTAAATAAACACGTGCTGACAAATCTGCGAATGGTTCTTCATGATTTTTGTTGCCTTATGGAAAGCTTGGTGTAGATAACTGGAAAGAGCTCACCCAAAGCATCAAAGCAAAGGGCATGCGGCCTGGTGTATCATTGAAGCCTGGTACTCCTGTGGAGGATGTTTTCCCCCTGGTAACTTCATTTGCCCCATACAATTATTCTTGTTATCATGTTGTACTCCCTCCGTTCCTAAATATTTGTCTTTCTAGAGATTTCAAATGGTTACCACATACGGATGTATATAGACATATTTTAGAGTGTAGATTCACTCATTTTGCTCCGAATGTAGTCACTTGTTGAAACCTCTAAAAAGACAAATATTTAGGAACGGAGGGAGTACATTATAGAAAAACCACTGGAATACATTTTCCAGAAACTTTTTCATATTAATAGCTAACATGAGAAGTGAGCTCGTATGCATTTATTTTCAACGTGCACAGTTAGCTTTATTTCTAATGCATAAAGTTCATTGTGTCCTCCTTTTGTGTCCAGAACTGAAACCCCGTCCAGAGCTGATTTATGTAGGAAGTAGTTCTTTTTTAGGTGTGTACTAGTGTTGTTGTACACTCGTATACTGGACCATTGGTTCATTGATCCAATCAAGTAGCAATGTGTTATGTTTAACTTTTAGCATAATTTGTTGATCAAAATGATCGTGGCACAAGCACATCCAGTTTCCCTTGTTCAGGCGCATTTCACCTCCCCTTCTTACAATCATCACTGAATGTTACTGTACTCTAGTACATCTTCCATTGCAGATGAATGGCCTTTGTTATGAACTTATGATGACCTGTCTAAACTTAATCATCTGATCTCCGATTAGCTAGCATTTCTACTAATAACTGTATTTACAGGTGGAAGCAGAAACCCCTGTAGAGTTGGTTCTCGTGATGACGGTCGAGCCTGGCTTTGGTGGCCAGAAGTTCATGCCGGAGATGATGGATAAGGTATCCACCCATTTTGTTTTCTGGGGTCGATACTCTTACCGTTTCTTATCTAGGATAGTTCTGACCACTTTTTTTTAAGCTTAGTTCTGACCACTTCCTCTCTGTAACCTGGATATGTTTCTCCAGGTGCGTACGCTGAGGAAGAAGTACCCGTCCCTCGACATTGAGGTACAGTTACAATGCCGATCCATGTTAGGCTAGTATCACATCACAGCCACAGGCGCCCATAGGCGATCTTCCCACGGCGTCTCGTTTCCTGACGTTATATTGTTTGTGTGTGTAGGTCGACGGTGGCCTGGGTCCTTCCACCATCGACGCCGCCGCGTCGGCCGGCGCCAACTGCATCGTCGCCGGGAGCTCCGTGTTCGGCGCGCCCGACCCCGGAGAGGTCATCTCGGCGCTGCGCAAGAGCGTGGAGGCGTCGCAGATCAAGAGCTGATCATCTGTAGCTCTGCGCGCTCGGACGGACGCATGTTTCTGCTGTAAACTAGAACCACTCTGCACGACCGACGCTCGGTCAGCAGTTTTGCGATTCCGAATAAAATGTGCCCTTGGCTTTCACGCAGTTTGGGTCTTGTAGAGATGGTGGTAACAGTGACATGAATGGCATACTACTACTACTACCGTATGATATTTCTGGTTCACTGTGCGTCGCAGGTTGGAGCTTTGGATCTGATTCCTCGTTCCCTCCCTGTCACGCTGCCATTACCAAACGGGAGGACACGGCGAGGCGGCACGCGTTGTCGATAGGAACGGAATCAGATTGGTCCTGGTCTCTTTTTTTCTCAACACTGCCAAGACGTCTCGAGCCATGTGCATCGCACGTTGACCGATCAGTTGTCCATCCATCCATGCCCTAAACTGGGTCACGCATGCTCATGCTACTGATGCACCCGTATTATATACGCTACTACTTGCTGATAGACGACAGACTCGAACGGATCAACATGCTTCATGGCCTTGTCGTTGAGATGAGAAGAAGGGAAAAACAGCGTGATCAGATCGTACACCGAGCTAGCCACCGGCCCCACACCATCCGGCCGTCCTGCTCCCTCCCTGCGCGAGGTGTTCCTGCGCCGTGACTCCCATCCCCGTCGGCGGGCCCACCCGCCACTCCCCCAGTCCACGGCGCACGCACCCATCCCATCCCCTCCACGAGCAAAACCGGCCCCACGCACCACGTTTCGCTCGGGGGAACTAATTATTTTCCCGTCGGTTCAAAAACCCGATCGCGACTCGCGAGCGGATCCGGGTCGGGGAGAACAGTCAGCAGGACCCGCGAGCGACCGAATCCCGATCAATCGCGGCGCGGCGGCGGCGGCGGCGGGACCGACGACCGGAGTCCGCTGACACCATGCCGGACAAGGCGGTGGACGACGCCATGGAGTCCGCGGTGGGGGCCCACTTCAGCGGCCTCCGCCTCGAGGCGCTGCGCCTGCCCGCCCCCTCCGGGTCCTCCTCCCCCTCCTCCTCCACCTCCGCCGGCGCCGCCGCCGCCGCCGCCCTCGCCAACGGGCTCGCCCACGCCCACGCCGACGTCGCCTCCCCATCCTCCCTCAGGCAGCCCTTCGTCATCGGTAACCTTTTTCTGCGGCCGCCCCTGCGCCCCCCATTCTGCTGATCAGTTTGCCCAGTGCGGTGGTTGCGAGTCCTGACTGACACTGCTAATTGTCTCAAGGGGTTTCGGGCGGGACGGCCTCGGGGAAGACCACCGTGTGCGACATGATCATCCAGCAGCTGCACGACCACCGCGTCGTGCTCGTCAACCAGGTCTGCTCCTCACTGTCTGCTTCTGCCATTGCAAATGCTCTGCGTTACGAGATTGCTAGGTGTCCTCACTTGATACTAGCTCCTGCAGTGGAATCACGCCTTTTAGTTTGTATGTCGTGCCCAAGTGATGCAGTTTATGAAATCCGAAGGCCTGTCGTGCTGCCATAGTCATTACTTAGCTGGGAACTGAACAATTAATGATTGTACCTTCAGAACTGAACAATGAAGTTGCAATAAAGCTAGTCGCGCACAACCCTACAGCAAGTTTCAAAGGGAGACCAATTTCATTTCCGGGACATGCCTGATTTTCAGTATGGCTTTTGATTTTGTAGGATTCATTCTACCGCGGCTTAACCGCTGAGGAATCTGCACGCGCTCAGGACTACAATTTCGATCATCCTGGTATTTCACCTATGCCATGTTGATTGGAAGTGTTCTACCTTTGTTAGTGATCAGAGAATGTGAAGCAGATGCTTTCTTTGTTTACAGATGCATTTGATACGGAGCAACTTCTTGAATGCATGGGGCAACTAAAACGTGCATTGCCTGTAAATGTTCCTATATATGACTTCAAAAATCACCGAAGGTGCTCAGAAAGGTTCCGAAAGGTTGGTAGTAATCAGTTATGCCTTATGAACTTGTTGACATGAAGAAGTTTCCCGTGTTTACAATGTTGAGTCCAGCTCATTTGACTTTTCAATAACTTGTTCCTGAGAATTACTATTCGATAACTTTGGGTGAAGCCTTTTTTCTACATGTACAACCATATGACCATCAGGTATATTGTATGGTAGGGTGCAATGCTTTCTATGGGAATTATTGAAATTACAGAGGATGCTATTTGCTTTCTGCGTGAATTGGAAAATAATACTAGTTTGAGTATGAAGATTTATTGCATAGCGTGTACAGCATTTTTGCAGCCTGATAATTTACAGCCTTGCAAGGAATTCTGTTAATATAGTCACTGAAGGTTTTGTTTTTGTTAATTTTTTTACCCTTTTGATCATGTCATAGACATTTGTATGAACGGGCAAATTATTTCCAAAACTATCCACTATTCTGACTTGTGAACTTATGCAGTCTGTATTCTTAATTTTGAAGTAAACTGTATTAATCTGGGATAAAGAATATAGTTCCTTCAATTAGCACTAGTGAATATCTTGATATATATTTATTTCAGTTTGTTAGTTTAGAATAATTATATTTTAGTATTATGTTTGCTGGCTTCTATCAGTACCAGGGATCGTCAACCGAGATGATTTTAGTTGAAGTACTGGATAAGTAGGAAAACTGGTCTAATCATGAACCTTTTTGCCAACTAAACGAATTGTCAAATTTCATTTTGTAAGGTCAATGCATCAGATGTCATTATTTTGGAGGGCATTTTAGTCTTCCATGATCAAAGGGTTCGCAATCTGATGGACATGAAAATTTTTGTGGACACAGGTCTGTGTTATGTGTACAGTGTACTTATAAGCATTTGACTTGTTCTCTATAATTTTCTCGCTGGTAGCTAAAATTTTGTTCACTTTCTTGCATCCATGGTGTATCCAAACAGATGCAGATATTAGGCTTGCCCGGCGAATAAGGCGTGATACAGTTGAAAGAGGTAGAGATGTTAGCTCGGTGCTTGATCAGGTAGGTTAACTATTGTAGATTTTCTGCTGTTGTTTAGATTTTTCATTGTGATTTGCAAGAAGATTCTGTCTATTTGTTTCTTGATATGTAAATGCCTGTGATGTAATATGCAATTCTTTTGGTGTCTCAGTATGGGAGGTTTGTGAAGCCAGCATTTGATGATTTTGTTCTGCCTTCAAAGAAATATGCTGATGTGATCATACCACGCGGAGGTGATAACCATGTTGCAATTGACCTGATCGTTCAACATATTCGTACAAAGCTTGGTATGCATGACTTGTGCAAAGTCTTCCGAAACGTCTTTGTAGTTCAATCAACTTTCCAGGTAAAGTTAATCATCTTCATTGATTAAGCATTATACTGTTTTTCATTGTATCTTGAAGTTGCCTTTATGATGAATTTGCCAGATCCGAGGAATGCATACTCTGATTCGTGATAGGGATATCACTACACCTGACTTTGTGTTTTATTCAGATCGATTGATACGTTTGGTACCTCGTTTCCAAGCCTTTATCTTATTATTATCAACTTTATGTTGAGTTAATTGCATTGAGTTTAAAATTGATTTAACTGGTCTCCTGTTTGTTTGAATAATGTCATGTTAGGTAGTTGAGCATGGTTTGGGCCATTTGCCATTTATAGAAAAGCAGATTATTACTCCAACAGGTAGTTTGCAAATGGCATTGCGTATCTTTTTTCACTTAGTTGTCCACTTTTCGATTTTGCATTTCAAGTACTGTTTCATCGAGAAGTTTTTCACTTTGATTGATTTCCTAGAATAATTGTTGTTTGATCAACTAGAAGAATTTATACCTACGGAATTTTATTGCTAAAATAGTTAACACCATAAGTTCTGAAATGTTGTGAAGACAAACATTTCCACTTCAACAATAATAGGAAGTAAAATAGAATCGATGCATTGACTAATGTTGGGCTAAATGCTAGTATCTTATTTCCCCTCGAATTACATTTTTGAATAATATCTTTGATATTACACAGTACTAGGTACGAATTGAAAATTGTTGATATGGAGAGTTTATCCCCCACTAGGATTATTTTTGATTTGTAGCTGTGATGTTATGCAGTAGTAGGTAGAAACTGAAGCTTGTTAATATGAAGAGTCTATTCCCTTTAGAATTATTTTTTCTTTATAGCTTTGATGTTACACAGTATTAGATGGAAAATGAAGCTCGTTGACATGAGCTCATGCTTACTATTTCTACCATTACCGAGCCTTGGGGTTTGTCACCTAACTTCATATGCCGATAAATTAGTACTCCTTGAAAGCAGCAATTTGTTTTGTGCTGCGAACATTTGAATTTGGATGCTCTGATTTAATATGCATAAAACATGTGGAAACCTGGAGCTCTGGCCATTTTCATATATTTATATGTTTTCAGTTGTTTTCTGTAATGCTAGGTGCACACATGCTTGTATTTATTTATCTGTGCCAAACATTATGTGATGCTCTACTTGTTTGTCCAGGATCTGTTTATACGGGAGTTGATTTCTGCAAGAAGCTCTGCGGAGTGTCTATTGTCCGAAGGTAAACACTGAAGATAGTTATTATCAACCCAACACAACAGCACACACCATTGACAGAAGTATTTTTTTGAACGTCGGGCATGCAGACTGCATTTAGTAATAACTATGTTTGAACAGAAGTTCTTCATTTTATTAGAGATGCTAGTTAATACTGCAAAAGATAATTTATTATGAGTATACATTCTGTTCTGTCCTGGCATGTGGAACCTTTTGTTTTCTCTGTGCCATTGTCTTGCAAGTTGTAAGATAGTTTTATAGTTCCAGAGTCCAGACTACAATTTTGAACTCATGTCCCATTTAATCCTGAATCTTAGTTCAACATCATGAAACGATGTCTATAAATACCAAATAGTTGCAGTTTACTCTTTGCACACCAGCCATGTTACATATGTTCTTTTCTCACCCATTCTGTTAATATATATTGAGACAACAGCACTACTGTAAACAAATTCATTGTCACTGCAGTGGTGAAAGTATGGAGAATGCTTTGCGTGCTTGCTGTAAAGGAATAAAAATTGGCAAAATTTTGATACATCGTGTTGGAGATAATGGACAGCAAGTAAGCACTAAGATCTTGTGATTAATGACTTGCTAATAAATTTGTAAAATGGTTAAGTTTTTGTGGTGTCAAATCTCAATAACTACAATACACTTTCTTCATCTAGCTCATATACCACAAACTGCCAATGGACATAGATGAACGGCATGTTCTGCTTTTGGATCCGGTGCTTGGCACAGGTCAGTTTTGCTTGCCTCTATTCCTGTTCATTTATTTGTTGGCGCTAAAGTTATTTAGGTTGTGTTAGTAAAAGTTTCCCTTGGCACACCCTATAATTGTACTCCGTATTTCTTATTGAAAGCAATGCTTTGTATGATAATAGATATGAGTGCTTTTTTTATTCGATGCAGTTTATACATATGGCATGCATTCACAGAAACATATCTGGATGTTATGAGATATCCTGATACCAAATCTCACCCAGTGATAATTTTTCCTTTACTAATGCATAAAATTAAAGATTTAATAAACTTTTTCATTGTTGGTTTATCTGTTGGGAGATGTCTTGGCTTTGGTAAATTTCATGTCAAATATATTTAACCGTGTTCTCAATAAATAGTGGAAGTTTGGTGCTACATCTTTACTTTGGAAGATAAGCTGCTACTCATATATAGTACTCCATGACTCGTAGATGATTATTGTTCTTTAGATCCACAAATCTGTAATTCGTTCGTCCATCTGCAATTGAATTGATATTGCACCAGCTATCTTCCGATTTGCTCGTGACTGAAGTGTTTTACTTCTTCCTTTTTTATTCAGGGAACTCAGCAAATCAAGCTATAGATCTTCTTCGAAGGAAAGGCGTTGCTGAGGAGAGGATCATATTCCTCACTCTCATCTCGGTAAACCTCTTAGCATACTGAATCAGTTTACTCGTCTCTTTTTCATGTCACTCCAGCCTGTTTTTTCGACTCCTTGTAGGCACCCGAAGGGATTCAATGTGTGTGCACGCGATTTCCAAAGTTGAAGCTTGTAACGTCAGAGATAGATACCGGGCTGAGCGAGGAATTCAGAGTCATCCCAGGTTTGGGAGAGTATGGTGATCGCTACTTCGGCACAGACAACTGATGGTGGCTCGTACTGCTATCGATGCCTGTGCAAAAGCTGACTTCATCGCTGGAGACTGCAGAGGGATGATCGTACAATCGGCGGTAGCATCGATTGGACCGAGGATACATGCCGGGGAAACATTGAATCAGAAGATACAACATGAATTTTTTTAGACTCCAGAGTTAGATATCTGTCCTTAGCCATTGCTGGAGGTAGTCTGGCCTTAGCCCTGAATGGAGGACTGGAGGTACAATTCGGAACAGAGGGAGTAGTAGAAATGATTGCAAGCTCGTTTCGTTTGAATATCTCTGTTGCTGTGCTGCTTCAGCTAGCCCGTTTCGCTGCTACTGTGTAAAATTATATCAAACCTATTTGCACCTCTTGATATCAGATGTTACAGTTAACAGTTGGAGAATGTGTCCTCTAATCAAGCCAAATCTAGAAGTGGCTTTGAGAAAAACATTTTGCTGAACCGCATCTATCACGCTAGTATTCCATGCCTGGGAGGTAGCCAGTAAACCGTGCTTTCGATTTATTCTAATCGTCAGCACAAATTAATCTCTGTAGCAAATGCACATTCCGTATCAGGACACAAGCCCTCGATCATCAACAGATTGAGGTTTTCGATTGAAGCAGGGTGAACCGTATTTAGCGTAGGCAAACCGGAGAAGTCCACAGCATGCAGGTCCCCCCAACAGGCCCCAGGCGCCTTTTTTTAGCGTCGGCTGCGAAAAATGGCCCAGCCGCGTCCTCAACTCTCAGTTATCGTCAGTTTGGATCGAAATAACAGCCGGCGAACCTGAGCCGAACCTAGCCCCCTGGGGCGCCGGCCGAAGGAAAAGGCGCGTGGGGCAGCTTGCCGCCGCCTCCTGCCCTGGGTTCCACGCGCAAGACAAAACAATGGACACCGCCGTCGACATGGACGACGAGCTCGATGACGCTGAGGAGGGGAGGAGGAAGAACATGCAGAGGAGGAGATGAACCCTGCGCCGGTGACGAAAGGGAGAAAGAAGAAGCGGGCGGCCAGTGCCAGGCCGGGCGAGCCGCGCGTCAAGTGGACTTCCAAGGAAGACGAGTGCCTCGCGACAAGGCCATGGCGGACCATTGGGCGATCATCCAGGTGGCCTGCAACAAATGGCATGGGATCGTCGAGGAGATCGCGGCTCGCCCGGAAAGCGGCGCCAACGTCGAGGGTTAGGTATGTCCAGCCGCCGACTCACTTCTTTCGCCGTGTATGTCGCCGAGACTTGTTCTTCGGCTGCGTAGATGGTTCGGGTGTTCAACATGTATCGCGAGGACGACAACGACCAAGAGTTCAAGTTCCTTCACGTGTTCTCCCGGAACGAGTCATGCGAGAAGTAGAGGGAGGTCCGGCTCACCGTCGCCAAGGCCAAGGAGACGTACAAGCCGGACGCGCCTGCCCTGGGGGCGGTGGATGGGCGCTGTCAGTGTCAAAACCGGCGGATCTCGGGTAGGGGGTCCCGAACTGTGCGTCTAAGGCGGATGGTAACAGGAGGCAGGGAACACGATGTTTTACCCAGGTTCGGGCTCTCTTGATGGAGGTAAAACCCTACGTCCTGCTTGATTTATTCTTGATGATATGAGTATTACAAGAGTTGATCTACCACGAGATCGAAGAGGCTAAACCCTAGAAGCTAGCCTATGGTATGATTGTATGTTGTCCTACGAACTAAAACCCTCCGGTTTATATAGACACCGGAGGGGGCTAGGGTTACTCCAAGGTCGGTTACAAAGGAGGAGATATCCATATCCGTACTGCCTAGCTTGCCTTCCACGCCAAGTAGAGTTCCATCCGGACACGAGACGAAGTCTTCAATCTTGTATCTTCATAGTCCAACAGTTCGGCCAAAGGATATAATCCGGCTGTCCGGATACCCCCTAATCCAGGACTCCCTCAGTAGCCTCCGAACCAGGCTTCAATGACGATGAGTCCAGCGCGCAATGTTGTCTTCGGCATTGCAAGGCGGGTTCTTCTCCATCTTTCAAACGTTTGTAAAGCAGTGTCCGGTCCCATAAATGTTTGGACCTCTTGGCTTCTGTGCCCAATAAGGGCTATATCCCACGCGTCGAATGAATACGAGGCGCCAGGCCGTTTTTACATTCGCCCCCCTAGCCAGATAAATAAATTATCTATTAAAGGAATGGGGATTCTTAGATCCGATCCATACCATCCTTCCCCAGCGAGAATCCATCAGAGCGCGTTTCGGAAAGATCCATTCCAGCATGGCCGACCTCCGCAGCTCCTCCTCCCGCCCCCATAGCCCTAAGCCCGGTGATTGGGAGAGGTGTTCAGTCCCGCACAATCGATTAGTCGAACTGCAGACTAAGGGATTTCTCCCTCCGGCGTATATGGTGCCTGTTCGAGCCGGGCTTGCCACCTACAATGGCGGGGAGCAAGCAGAGAGTTTTCCCTGCCCCTCTATGGGGGAACGGGTCTGCCTTGTTCCTTATTTATTAAGGGGACTTGGATTTCCAATTCATCCATTCCTCCGCGGGCTCCTGGAGTTCTACGGCCTCCAATTACACAATTTCACCCCTGCCTCCATTCTACATATCGCTGGCTATGTTGCTCTCTGCGAGTTGTTCCTGGGCTGCGAGGCTCACTTCGAGCTGTGGGAAAGGCTATTTTGCCTCGTCCCTCGCACACAGAGGGGGTCACTTTATCAAGTGGGCGGAGCCGAAATATGGCGCATCGCCGGTACCGGATACCTCTCCGGTACCCCGAAGAAGTCGTCCGAAGACTGGCCTTCAGAATGGTTTTTGTTGGGTAACGTAGCAATAATTCAAAATTTTCCTACATGTCACCAAGATCTATCTATGGAGTCATCTAGCAACAAGGGAGGAGTGGATCTACATACCCTTGTAGATCGCACGCGGAAGCGTTCAAGAGAACGGGGTTGATGGAGTCGTACTCGTCGTGATCCAAATCACCGATGATCCTAGCGCCGGACGGTCGGCACCTCCGCGTTCAACACACGTACGGAGCAGCGACGTCTCCTCCTTCTTGATCCAGCAAGGGGGGAGGAGAGGTTGATGGAGATCCAGCAGCACGACGGCGTGGTGGAAGTAGCGGGATTCCAACAGGGCTTCGCCAAGCGCTGCGGGAGGAGGGAGATGTGTCATGGGAGGGAGAGGGAGGCGCCAGGGCTTAGGTATGGCTACCCTCCCTTCCCCCCACTATATATAGGGCCAAGGGAGAGGGGGGGCGCAGCCTTGGCCCTTCCTCCAAGGAAGGGTGCGGCCAGGGAGGAGTCCATCCTCCCCAAGGCACCTCGGAGGTGCCTTCCCCCTTTAGGACTCTTTCTTTCCCTTATCTCTTGGCGCATGGGCCTCTTGGGGCTGGTGCCCTTGGCCCATACAGGCCAAGGCGCATCCCCTACAGCCCATGTGGCCCCCCCGGGGCAGGTGGCCCCACCCGGTGGACCCCCGGGACCCTTCCGGTGGTCCCGGTACAATACCGATGACCCCGAAACTTGTCCCGATAGCCGAAATAGCACTTCCTATATATAATTCTTTACCTCCGGACCATTCCGGAACTCCTCTGACGTCCGGGATCTCACCCGGGACTCCGAACAATTTTCGGGTTACCGCATACTAATATCTCTATAACCCTAGCGTCACCGAACCTTAAGTGTGTAGACCCTATGGGTTCGGGAGACACGTAGACATGACCGAGACGACTCTCCGGCCAATAACGAACAGCGGGATCTGGATACCCATGTTGGCTCCCACATGTTCCACGATGATCTCATCGGATGAACCACGATGTCGAGGACTTAATCAATCCCGTATACAATTCCCTTTGTCTATCGGTACGATACTTGCCCGAGATTCGATCATCGGTATCTCGATACCTTGTTCAATCTCGTTACCGGCAAGTCTCTTTACTCGTTTCGTAACACATCATCCCGTGATCAACTCCTTGATCACATTGTGCACATTATGATGATGTCCTACCGAGTGGGCCCAGAGATACCTCTCCGTTTACACGGAGTGACAAATCCCAGTCTCGATTCGTGCCAACCCAACAGACACTTTTGGAGATACCTGTAATGTACCTTTATAGCCACCCAGTTACGTTGTGACGTTTGGCACACCCAAAGCACTCCTACGGTATCCGGGAGTTGCACAATCTCATGGTCTAAGGAAATGATACTTGACATTAGAAAAGCTTTAGCATACGAACTACATGATCTTGTGCTAGGCTTAGGATTGGGTCTTGTCCATCACATCATTCTCCCAATGATGTGATCCCGTTATCAACGACATCCAATGTCCATGGTCAGGAAACCGTAACCATCTATTGATCAACGAGCTAGTCAACTAGATGCTTACTAGGGACATGGTGTTGTCTATGTATCCACACATGTATCTGAGTTTCCTATCAATACAATTCTAGCATGGATAATAAACGATTATCATGAACAAGGAAATATTATAATAACTAATTTATTATTGCCTCTAGGGCATATTTCCAACAGTCTCCCACTTGCACTAGAGTCAATAATCCAGTTCACATCGCTATGTGATTAACACTCAAGGTCACATCCCCATGTGACTAACACCCAAAGAGTTTACTAGAGTCAATAATCTAGTTCACATTACCATGTGATTAACACTCGATGAGTTCTGGGTTTGATCATGTTATGCTTGTGAGAGATGTTATAGTCAACGGGTCTGAATCTTTCAGATCCGTATGTACTTCGCAAATTTCTATGTCATCTTGTAGATGCAACTACTACGCTACATTTGGAGCTATTCCAAATAACTGTTCTACTATACGAATCCAGTTTACTACTCAGAATAATCTGGATTAGTGTCAAAGTTTGCATCGGCGTAACCCTTTACGACGAACTCTTTTACCACCTCCAGAATCGAGAAAATTCCTTAGTCCACTAGTTACTAAGGATAACTTTGACCGCTGTCCTGTGATCCATTCTTAGATCACTCTTGTACCCCTTGACTGACTCATGGCAAGGCACATTCCAGGTGCAGTA